TACAGGCATGCGCCACCATGCCCGGCTGATTTTTTGATTTATTGTAGAGATGAGGTCTCGCTGCCCAGGAGGGTCTCGAACCCGTGGGCTCAGGCAATCCACTCACCTCAGCCTCCCAAAGGCGCAGGATTACAGGCTGAGCCACCGAGCCCGGCTATCCACTTATTCTAAATGAACAACCTGGAGAAGCAGACTCAGAATTAGGAAGCCCACCTGAGGCTGTGTCAGCAGAGTACACCATCCTCCCAGAACCCAGAGTCGTCAGTCCCACTGTCCAGTTTGGAAGTGGGATGGAGGTCTTATCAGTCATGGCTTTTAGAATAAACTGTTAGAAAAATGCCTTGAAGATTGAAAAGGGAGACGAATCATTCTAAGGTTAAGGAAACCTACTGAGCTTTGGAAGGATTTTCATAATAAATATGAAAAAACTTTTATTTTTGTCCTTTATCAGGACTATGCAGAGGACATAACAGCTGTTATTATAACACAACATCTGTTGGGTTTAGGACACCTGGCTTGGGAGACAGTATGGTAAGAACAAGACCGAGAACTGAGTCCAATAAACTTGCCACCTGAAATCCTTACTTGTATTACCTTAAAGCAAGTCACTTATATCTCCAAGATGGCTTCTTCACCTAACACTGAATCATTGTGAGGGTTAAAAGAGAAAACATGTAAAGCATCTAGTGCAATGCTGGTCATGTTAGATATATTGGAGTAAATAGTCGTTATGATTATCTTTAGCTCTATTAAGCAACATTAGACCATAGGAGTGTCATGTAGTGTAGACACACAATGAATTTTTATGAGATGGGTGAATAAGGAACATAACTTTGCCCTCAGGAGAGAACCTTCCTTGAAATGCATCCATACCACGTTTTTCAAAATCGAGCAATTCCATGTACTCTCACAAAAGCAGGCAGTTCAGTTTCTGTTACGCCAGAAGCCACTTTCTTTTTCACGTTAAAGGCTTTTAGAATTGCTTCTCTTCACTTCATTTTCCTGTAACAGGGTTTTCTGAAAGAAAACACTTTATGTTATAGAATAGAGCTTAGTGCACCATGATTATTTAGTAAAAGAATCACTGAGAAAAGGAACTGCAAAAATGTGGAATCAACCTAAATGTCAATCACCTGATCAGTGGATAATGAAAATGTGGTGTATATGAAATATTATTCAGCCATAAGAAAGAACAAAATGATGTTTTTTGCAGCAACTGGGGTGAAACTGGAGATCATTATCCTAAGTGAAGTAATGCAGGAATGGAAAACAAAATGCTGCATGTTCTCACTCATCAGTGGGAGCTAAGCTAAGGGTCTGCAAAAGCATAGAGAATGGTATAATGGACACTGGAAACTCAGTGGGCAGGGGAGGGAGGTGGAAAAGGGATGAAAAATTACCTATAGTGTACAATGTACGCTAATGGGGGTGATGGGTACACTTAAAGCCCAGACTTCTCCACCACTATACAAAACAGTATTGTAACCAAAAGCCACTTACACCCCTAAAGCTATTAAAATAAGGAAAATTTAAAAGACAAAAATAAAAATAAAGAGAATCAGTGAGAAAATGGATGACCTTTTAAAAAGAAAATTCTGACCTTGTTGAGTGGCTTATGCCTGTAATCCTAGCACTTCGGGAGGCCGAGGCTGGAGGACTGCTTGAGGCCAGGAGTTTGAGACCAGCCTGGGCAACATAGTGAGACCTTGTCTCTACAAAATTTTTTTTAAAAAAACAGCTGGGCATGGTAGCATACACATGTAGTCACAGCTACTCAGGAGGCTGAGGTGAAAGGATAGCCTGAGTCCAGGAGGTTGAGGCCACTGTGAGCCATGATCTTGCCACTGCACTCTAGCCTGGACGACAGAGTGAGATTCCGACTAAAAAAAATGAACAAATAAATAACAAAAGAAGATTCTTTATAGTGAAACGGAGATGATGTTAAATAAATGCCTTTATTCCAAGCTGTTAACCTGAGGTCCTCGAGGTGCCCTTGGGAAACAGTGAGGGGACCTGAGCAGTGATGATCAGGCTCTCCACACATCCCTTCAGGGGATGGCTTGACTCCACAGATTTGTCTATTCTGTGGAAATGTCAGAGAGCAATCTTCCCAGAGCAAAGCAAGGTTAAGGATCCCCTCCATTTCCCAGAGCCTCCAAATGTTCCTCACCGTCTTTTCCTTAACTGTACCTTTCCTGCGGTGATCTCTCTCACTGACACTAGTTTTCTGACTCTCCCTCCCACAGGGATCGCCAGTGGAAGTTCATAATGTGCCGGATGACTGATTACGACTGTGAATTTGCAAATGTTTAGATTTGCTCCATTCCAAGTCTGGGCAAGGGAAAGGGTCCAGAGACCTGAGGGTGTCTACGTGTGCTCATGTCGGTGGGAACTCTTGCAGCTGTTTCTGCTGTTTTCTTTCTTTCTCCCTAGGCTGGTGGTTGTGATGCCAGCTTCCTGGGCCTTTCTGACTAGTATTACACTTAAGATAAAGTTCACAAGTAAACCACGTTTCTCACTTTCAACGTGTTCCATCGCAACTGCTTTATATGACTGATGATGGCTTCCTTGCACGCCACGTATACAGTGTGCTCGCTCACAGCACTGCTCATGTGGCGCCCGCCATAGCCTGGCTGCTGCTTCTACTCCAAAATGAGCTGCCAGTTCAGCATAGTAGAAGGCAGGGGCAGGACTGGAGGAGAGGTGTGATGAAGCATCTCTGAAGCTATGTCTGTTTAATGGCACAGGGTCCTCACCAAGGGCAGGCTTTCTTCCCCAGGGTATGTGCCTTTACTCTTCTGCTCCTTGTGGCCCCACATGCTTAGAAGTCCAAGTGCAGAGCTCTCTCCGAGGGAGGGCCTGGGAGTGGAATGGGGAGGTGGAAAGGTCAGGGGCGGAGTTGGAAGTTTAGGGTTGGGAGAATTTCCTGCATTTGAAGACCAATGTCAGCATACCCTGTCAAGATGTGAGTGCAGAGGCCAGGGGAGCCTGTGAGAACTCATCTCAAGTGAGAGAAAAACAAGGAAGCAGAGAAAGGTCAGAGAATGGGACTGAGATTGGGAAACTGGTACGATGGGAGTGACCAGGTTGAGTGGAAACACAGAAAAAGGGTTTTGAATCACTGGCATCTAGAGGCATGCCCAGGATTCCTAGAAAGCTGGCATAATGCCCTGGAGCCCTGGAGCTACTGGCAATCCCCCAGATTGGCTCTGATTTCTGAGTAAAAAAGGATGCTCTGGGGGTTCACTGCCCTGCTATATGTAGCTCAGCGTGTCTTCTGCAGAAGTAGCACCATCTTTCCTCCTGTGATGTCTCTGTCCCAGCCTCCTGTACTCTTCATCATAAAAGAAATAAAAATATTTACATTCACTATGCTGCAAATATTCGGGGTCGGTTTCTTTTCTCTACCTGAGTGTTCATCCGTTTGTTCTGGAAATATGACTTAGCATTGTGATGTGTACCAAGCACGGTGCAAGGAACCAGAAATACAACGATGACAATAACAGAGTGTGGCTGGGGAATAAGATGACTAAAATACATAAGGGGGTCCCAAACACCCAGAAATGTATTGATAACAGATTGTGTATCTAGTCTTATGCGTTTAAACTTCAGTCATCCTCAAAGTGCTCTCTGTTTGATGCAGTACACCTATCGAAGTGCCTTTTCCACGGCTCAAAACAATTTTTGAACTTGTCAATTTTGAAGCCATTTAAGTGCTTCTGTCACTTTTTGCTTCACTTCTTCCACAACAGCATCATGTTTCCCTTTGAGGATTTTTTTAAACTAGAAAGACAAAACAAAAAGTTGCTCTGGGAGAGATTGGGTGAATAAGGAGGGTGAGACATGGGGGTCATGCAGTTTTGGTCACAAACTGCTGGACACTCAGCACAATGTGGGGCAGGTATACTCGCAAATAGCCCACTATGAAATGGGCAGACGTGTTGAAAGAATCTCCAAAATAAAAAAAATTCACTGAAGCTGAACAGTACCTCTCACAACAACGCTAGCTGGTACACTGATTGTGATGGGTTCCTAGAATACTTACCCAGCAGGGGAAGCCTGTACTACAAGGGGCCCACCCACTAAAAGATAATTCTGGTTTTAGGGGGGTTCTCCACTTGTAAAGTGCTAAGATTTTTGCTTAAGGATTGAACAGAGCGTAGAACCACATTTTTGGACTTTGCATCTAGCCTGACTTTTACTCAGCATCCTTCTACTCCCTTCCCCATCCCAATATGTCACATACATTTTTAACCACAGAAAGCTCCTGTTTCCCTTATTCACACAATTTGCCTTTTCTTTTCTGATCTGTGCTCCAGGAGAGGAGTCAGCCAAGCAAAACCACTGGAGCCATCTAGCTCGCCGTGCACTCCATTCAAAGTGCCACGGTGGTGACTCTTGGCCAATGGCAACTGCATTTCCCCTTGCAAGACCCCAGCATCATGATGAGGAAAGCAGGACGGAGAATGTCTTTCTTTGTTTTAACTCTGAAACACTTTTTAATGTTATGATTTCACTTTCTTTCCTCCATCTCACTGTTTCTGCCTCTTTGGCAATTTTAATTTACAATAAGAAGCTGCACAGTGTTATTTTTCACAAAGGGGGCCATTAATATTTTAGCAACTGCAGCCTGGTTCAGGATGGCAACCAGAAAATGGTCTAAGTTGGGTGTGTGAAGCCCTTTTGGAAGGGAGACAAGAAAGTGCTGACTGGCTGACATGGCATCCATTAAAAAAGTAAGACTGGTGAGAGGATGGGGAGGGGGAGGGTGTGGGGAGAGGCCCGCAACTAGGAGGAGACTGCAGAGAACACAATCATGAAAAAAGATGGTGTAGCAATCCAATGAGAAGTATCTGTGTTACACAGAATAAACAGAGAAGTTTTTACTAAGAGAAAAACTATTATTTGCATGTGGGCCAAGGACAATGACAGGAAAGACACTGTCAACTTGGTTTGAATCTGAATAATTTATACTTTGTCTTATATGTCATTCAGTAAGAAGTGTCTGAGTGAGAACCAAATCCCAGATGTTCTGCCTGCAAATTCTTATTCTCTGTTTTCTCATTACTCCAGTGTTTCTACTATCTTGCTCCACAGTCGTGGATAAGTCACCTCTCCTTTCTAGGCTACTGTCTAAGCTGAGGACTCTTACCTAGGTAATCGTTGTGATTTCTTGCAACTCTAGAATATATTCTACGAACTCTCTCCCCTGCCCTGAACTGTTTATAAATAAATTTACTAAGGTGTTTTCTTCCAGGAAAGAAGACTAGAACAGAGATGGGGACCCAGAGCCTACCCTTGGCTCTTGCAGAGGGTGGCTGCATAAGATTAGACAAATTCCCAAGCCACCATTTCCTCATCTGCCCACTATAGTCAGGAATCCCTCTCCAAACAGCTTTACAAGATACTGGCCATCTAAAATGAGATGATGGAAGAAAGAGAGATACAACTCCTGCCTCCACAACCTATAGCTGCGTGAGAAATAGGCATTGATGAGGAATGCAGGGGAGTTTCCTGTGGGTGCTGAGTCTATGTTTGGCCCTGAAGGATAAGGAGGACTTCTGAGGTGAGTGGGAAGGACTGTGGGCTCTGAACTCAGACTTCTGGGCACAAATCTTGGTGTCACTTCCCAGCTTAATGACCTTGGTCAATTCACCTACCTTTCCTGTAATTTCCTTACCTGTAGAAATGAGAATAGTATCTACACCATGAGGGTATAAGAACTAATGAGACCTTAGTGTCTTGCACAAAAATACTTGCACATAAGTCCTCAATAAATAGTAAGAGACTATCATGATTTGCATTTTTGAGTTTTCTATTCAGCCTTTTTCACTGATACAGCCATTTAATCACACAAACAATGCGGGGTATAGGTCTACTTTAGTAGATAGTAAGAGAAGGAAAATAGTCTTAGTATACATTAGAAATAAAGTTTCCTAAGTAAGTTGAATTTTAGTATAGGTCAATGACAGGAAAAGATCATAAAATAGGTGAGACTTAAGTTCGGTTCTCACTCATTGATTTATTCATTTGTTCAGTCACTGAATTAATACATTATTTGGTGCTTTTTGTATACCAATTGTTGTACTAGGCATAATTCCTGTATTTCAGAGAAGTATAAACTAAAGAAGTCAGAAAAGCAAGCAAATCTTTACACCACAGTTTGGTAAGTCAAGGACAGGTAGAATTTTAACAGAGGGTGGTGAGGGGTTATGATGGGAAAGGAGATAGCGACATTTCAGGCAATGGAAACAATATGATGAAAGGCATGACATAATATTTGGGTTTAGGAAAAGTTCCTCAGAAAATACTGACCTCACTAGGGAGGCCTTGGAAACCCAACATGTAGTCATAGTGCCCTAAGGAGGAACTGGTAGCACCATAAGACCTTCTACTATTTGTGCATATTAGTCATAATGTATTTTATCTACCTGGAATTCAGATGGCTTGGGAATCTCCTCTCTCCATCCTGAATTTTCATCCACACATGTTTTTATGCTAGACTGCTTTGACCCAGACATGAAACGCAATACTTTTGTGAGTTCCTTTGGAAGAATACAATCTCACAAAAGTGTTTATGAATGCACAAACTTAAAAAAACACAAACAAAAAACCTTAAAATGTCAGGCGTATCTGTCTTCCTAGCATCTTCTCATTTACTGTGAAATCTCTCTAGCTGGTCCTGCATCTAGTACCAAGACTACCTGGCTGTCTTCTCTCATTGGTCAGAGAAAATATCGCTCAGTACAGTTCATGCCCCAACAGTTGTGCACATCGTGGTGGCCAACAGAATAGAGACCATGTAGTCAACAGTATCCACATTCCTCATGAAGTCTGTACTGTAATTACGCCATGTATCTTTAATACTGTCTAATTGAATCACCTTGCTAAGGAGTGGTCCCTGAACCCAGTCACCTGGGATCCAGAGTCAGTCAGTGAGGCCCGCTAAGCGGAACCCTTTACAAAAGGGTGCCTGAACCAATGGGGGTGTGCCATCCTTTACCCATTAACTTGCTGAATCTCTGTTATTCAATTGATTCCTTTGTAAATCATGGATAAGAAAACACATCTAAGAAGTCATCTAAGAAATAATAGCAAAATATTTACACAAAGCTCAGATTTTCATGGGTCTTACAATTTTTCATAGAATGAAATATCCCCCAAAACTAAAAGCCAACCAATGGTCCTATTAATTGTAAAACCTATTTATTATATAACATGGTGTCTTGCTGAACTCTTGAATCTACCAGAGTGTGACCTCCTTCTGCTCTGCATCCTAAAGTAGACCTATGCCCCGCATTATCTGTGTGATTAAATGGCTGTCTCAGTGAAAAAAGCTGAATAGAAAACTCAAAAATGCAAATCATGATAGTCTCTGGATTGTAGCATTACTGTTTATTTCTTTATTCATCTTTATGCTTCTCTGTCTTCCCTTATAAAAACAATGATCATTGTGTTAATAATAAAGAAATAAAAGTAATTTTAGTCGTATAAAACAAAAAGCCACCATCTGCCAAGTAAT